TTGGTCGTCCTAACAGGCAACTTGTGTGCAGCAAAGCATTCAAACATTCTCTCACTCAGTCCAACCTCCCGCCGTGCGTAAAACAAACAAGCCGCTAATTCGCCCTCACGCAATTATTCACGCTCATTAACGAGGACATTTTATTTGCTTTAATTTATTTTAAGCTCGGGCAGACTGTGCATAATGTTGTCTAAAAAAGGCAATATGCACAACTCGGTTTTGTTAAGCGCACGTTGACTCAAACACCATCGAGTTTTGTTTTAACTGAATGAGGTGGTCATTAAGTGCGTTGCATTTTGCATTGGCGTCTTGTGGTTGGTGTTAGAGGTGAGGTGTGTTCCTTTTCTCCATTCGCACAGGCAATGAAGTACCCGAAATCGCTTGCTTCAGCCTTCGCCAGAAGGTGTAAACATCACCTTAAAACTCTCGGTTGTGAGAACATCCTTGTATCCTCGGCAATTTCTCGTCACACTAACCTGGCCGAACTTTTAAGATTATTTTGCTTTTGCACTTGTCGGATCATGTTTCACAGATCTGTTATTGTAGTTGATTCATTGTCAGAATTCGACTATCGGCAGGTCATTGCGCGCATCCCCCTTTCCATCTTTTTCATTGGATCAACCAAATCTTACAATGAAACTTTGTACTACTTAGAACTGGAATATAAACACCTCGCCATTTATAGATTTGAATATTTTAATCAACTATAATAAATGTCATGGCAACCGATGAGTGACTTGTCGGTTTTAGCTGAATGGAGGCAGTTGGTGTTTGTGTTCGGTCATTTCTGCACAGTTTGCATTGGCCTCTGAGGATAGATCGACCACTTTTGGAGTGCCCATTGGTCGTTAAAAGTTTTCAAGTTATTGAGCATGACTCAGTGAGCACATTTTTGCTCGAAATTTTGACCTCCGTTCATGAGAGGAAAGTTCATCGGGGAGATTTGTTGCTCACATGTTGATTTGCCTGACCAAATTGTGAGCTGTTTGTCTCGAGCTCGGTATAGTGGGTGGTTGTACAAGCATGCCTCACCCAGAATGGAGAAGTACAGAACAAAATAGCACATCCAAACTTTGTATGTGCAATTAATGTAATCTCAAACTGCGCATTGGTAGTGAAGGAATGAGATGGTCACGTCCAAATCAATCGTCCAGTTCCTTTTTTTCACGTACTCATTAGGGTACTTAAGGAGACTGGTGATTGATCATGGAGAACCGAGTCAAAGCGGCAGAAATTAATGAGGCTACAAGTAGTATCAGCGAGGTGTCATGCACGAGTCAACGAAGTCCTGTTTATTACACCCTGTAATGCAACGATTTTGAGGTTGGATAGTCAGTGCGAAGGGTGATGCACATGACTTGGACGAGTCGTGCCTGGCAATCTTGTAAAATAGGTTAACCCAGAGCTCGAAATAGTGGGTACAGTGGTCAAATGAGAGACTTATTTTAAAAGCTTACATAAACGTTTTGACGCTTCAAAATCACCCATTACATGTTGGTAGTTTTGTGGATTCGTGAGACTATGGAGTCGTGACCTAGTTGCAAAACATGACTATTGAACCATTCTACAAAAGTCTACATCTGGTACCTGTGCCACACAATGCTGGCGTGTTAAGCCAACAAATTTGATCTTCTGGTGCATACTTTGTTATTATCAGGACAAAATCAGTTACAGCAACGTACGGAAAATTATTTACTTTGTCCACATCTTGTAATCATTTTGTAGTTTAAAAGAGATCGACAAAAACTCCGTTAAATATTAACCCCCAAATGTCTCTAGCGTCTTACCTATTGCAATGAGCACCTCAGCTTTAACCCAATCAAAGAAACTATGCCTATCTTGTTCGCTGTTAGTTCCAAACGCGCAATTAACGTGGACACAAAATTGCAGATTGGAAATTTCCTCACTGCGCCTTCGTCCCAAGTGAGGCAAAGTTACCATCACCGCAATGGAATGTGCTAACAGTGCCACCTATTGTCTCCAATGCAATAAAACCAAACAGTCAACGTTCAAAAAGCGTTATTTATTAAGAAAGCTTAAACAAAAGTGAAGGGACTCAGGTCCCTGTAACCAAGTACCATGTAGTACCAACCTCCATTATAAAATTCGGAGAACTCAATGAAATAGATAGAAAAGGGGATGCGCGCAATGACCTGCCGATAGTCGAAAGGTGACAGTGAATCAATCACAAGAATGGAATTGTGAAGCATAATGCGACAAGTGCAGAAGCAAAACAAGTTCAAAAGATCGGCCCGATTAGGATGATGGACAATTTCTGAAGACACAACAATGTTCTCACAACCGGGGTTTTTGAGGCTATATTTGCATTTCTTGGCGAAAGCTATGGCAAGCGACTCCGGGTACTTCATTGCCTGTGCGAGTGGAGAAAAGGAACACACCTCACCTCTAACACCAACCACAAGACGCCAATGCAAAATGCAACGCACTTAATGACCACCTCATTCAGTTAAAACAAAACTCGATGGTGTTTGAGTCAACGTGCGCTTAACAAAACCGAGTTGTGCATATTGCCTTTTTTAGACAACATTATGCACAGTCTGCCCGAGCTTAAAATAAATTAAAGCAAATAAAATGTCCTCGTTAATGAGCGCGAATAATTGCGTGAGGGCGAATTAGCGGCTTGTTTGTTTTACGCAGGGCGGGATGTTGGACTGAGTGAGAGAATGTTTGAATGCTTTGCTGCACATAAGTTGCGTGTTAGAGTGGTATTTAAAATGGGAGGATGTTTCCTTGAGGCGCCAAAACACGCGGTGTCAGAGTCGTACTGGGTGGTTGGCTAGTGGTGGAGGCACTGTTGTG